TCATCTTGCCACATCTCACCTACAGTGCTGGCGACTTGCATGAGTACGGATCCAATTTAGTGATGGCTCCTCTGCATGGCCAAGGCTCTAAGTGATAGCAGCCACAAGTCCAACGCCACAGTCCCATCGCCTAGATAACATTGTGGCGCCACACAATGATGACACTCGTCAAGTTGATGCAACCTACGACCACAATCAAGTCCCAAATCCGAACCGTTACCAGGGATCACAACGGTTCCCCCACGACATCGTGCAGATGGGGGATACATATCTGTACCTCCATAGGTGTATGTAGCTTCTGGCCGGGAAGCGCCGTTGCTAGCGAGAGACATACCTTTTGATTGAGGACCTGGTTGTCGCCACCCGTGAGCACACGACAATCACAGTTTGGCCGGATGAAGTCCTAGGACACGATGTTTGTCGTCGCGACGCTCTTAGTGTGCGCCTTGCTACCATGGATAACGACATCTATGCGGGCGGATTACTTGGCGCAGTTGCGCCAGGACACGGTCGACATGTTCTATCACGGGTTCAGCAACTACATGAAGCATGCGTTCCCGGAAGATGAGGTATGGCGGTGCGCAGGGACTGATTGCTTGAATAGGTTGCTAATTGCCGATTTATGAACAGCTGCGACCACTAACGTGTGGTGCTCTAACTCGAGACCGTGACGACCCGACCCGGATTGAAGTAAACGATGCCCTGGGCAACTATTCTCTTACCCTGATCGACAGCTTATCAACGCTCGCCATATTAGCAGGCGGCCCGCAAGACGGCTCCTATACAGGCCCTCAAGCTCTGAGCGATTTTCAAGATGGAGTTGCCCAGTTCGTTCGTCTCTATGGGGATGGTCGACGCGGTCCGTCGGGTGTGGGTGCGCGCGCTCGTGGCTTCGACCTCGACAGTAAAGTCCAAGTGTTTGAAACGGTGATCAGAGGACTAGGTGGTCTTCTGAGTGCCCATCTGTTTGCCATTGGAGAGTTACCCATAACGGGGTACACCCCAAAGCCCGCAGAAACCTCTGAACAGGATCCATTGGAACTTGCACCGATTCCCTGGCCAAACGGACTCAAATATGATGGCCAGCTACTCAGGCTTGCTCTTGATCTAGCAGAGAGGCTCTTGCCAGCCTTCTACACCAAGACTGGAATTCCTTATCCCAGGGTGAATCTCCGCACCGGTATACCCTTTTACGTCCATTCTCCTCTTAACGGAGAAGCAGACAAATCCAAGGATGAGGAAGGGCGCCCAGAGACCACAGAAACTTGCAGCGCGGGCGCAGGCAGTCTGACTTTGGAGTTCACGGTTCTCAGTAGGCTAACGGGCGATCCGAGATTTGAGAATGTAGCCAAGCGAGCGTTTTGGGAAGTTTGGCGACGGCGAAGCGAAATTGGCCTGATTGGTAACGGAATTGACGCGGAGCGCGGCTTTTGGATAGGCCCTCACTCGGGCATTGGTGCAGGCATGGACAGTTTTTTTGAATATGCTTTCAAGAGCCATGTTCTTCTTTCGGGGCAGGAGATGCCCAATGTGACAAGGTCTCGAAGACAAAGCACAACAAATTGGTTGGACCCGAATTCTCTTCATGAGCCCTTGCCGCATGAAATGCATTCGTCTGATGCGTTTCTCCGAGCGTGGCATGAAGCACATGCGTCTGTTAAACGGCACATCTACACGGATAGAAGCCAGTTCCCGTACTATTCCAACTCGCATCGGGCGACGGGCCAGCCGTATACCATGTGGATTGATAGCTTGGGGGCCTTCTACCCCGGTCTTTTGGCGCTAGCTGGCGAGGTGGACGAAGCTGTTGAGGCAAACCTCGTGTACACGGCGCTGTGGACGAGATACTCGGCGTTGCCCGAGCGTTGGTCCATTCGCGAAAACAACGTCGAGCCTGGTATTGGCTGGTGGCCTGGTCGACCTGAATTCATAGAATCGACGTACCACATCTATCGCGCGACCAAAGACCCATGGTACCTTCACGTTGGCGAAATGGTTCTAAAGGATATCCGGCGTCGCTGTTACGCGCCGTGTGGTTGGGCAGGGCTGCAAGATGTTCGAACGGGGGAGAAACAAAACCGCATGGAGAGTTTCTTCCTCGGCGAAACCACCAAATACATGTATCTCCTGTTCGACCCAGATCATCCTCTAAACAATCTCGACGCCGCCTACGTCTTTACCACTGAAGGCCATCCTCTCGTCATACCGAGGGGCAAGAATAGCAAGCCCGTCCGTCGCAAGCGCCAATCCAGCAATCTCAAAGACGTATCCGTCTCCAGCTACTACAACGAGAACTTTACCAATACGTGCCCAGCCCCTCCGCCCTCACAAGATCTCTTGACTGGGTCCTCTACTGCCTCCAGACCCGACCTGTTCAGTGTATCCCGCTTCACCAACCTCTACAACACACCAAACCTTCAAGGCCCTTTTGAAGAGGTCCTCGTGCATGACGAAAAGAGAGGCCTGGTCACCAAATACCGCGCCAAGTCCAACCACACCATCTTCCCCTGGACACTCCCTCCCACTATGCTCCCAGCAAATGGGACCTGCGTCGCTCCCCCCCAACGAGTGATTTCGGCCATTGAATTCCCGGCCACCGACGCTGCAAGCTCATTGATTTCAAGGCTTGGTGCCCACATTGCATGGTATAGCTACCTCGGTCCGACAGCCACGAATCTCGAGGGCCTCCGGTTGCAGCTTGAGCGAGAATTCAGCGACGACCGGGGCGAACATATCTGGAGGATAACACACGTGGGTAACACACAGCTTGGTCGTCATGAAACAGTCTTCTTCCACGCAGAGCACGTCCGGCATCTCAAGGATGATGCATTTACATGCCTGCGGCACAAAGACTCGGTCAACATACAGGTCCTCGTTGAAGCGCCCCGTCCCTCAAATTTCACCACGCCTCCGACCCCTGAAAACACCAGTCCTCCATCATCATCTTCTTCTTCCTCCGCCATACTTTCTAGCAATATCAAAACCGACCTTGACGACGCCGACCTGAGCGTCCTCCCGTCCGAGTCGCTGTTCAAACACCTCCTCCGGGCAGTAACTTCCGTCTTCGACCCTTCAGAGACGGACGCCCCCGCATCGGAAACGCGCGACTCCATCTCCGCTTCCTTTTACACGTGGCAGGCATTCACCTCTGTCGGCGCAGGGTCGTACCCCGTGCCCGCCATCCTCGACAGCCCGATCCCCGGCTGTCCGACTTACAACTCTGACGATCCCATGGCCAACTTCCCCTGGAAAGCAATCTACATTGCCGACGAAGCCTGCTCCGGGCCCCTCCCCGACTCCGCGCCCAGGGACCACCAGGTCATCGTCATCAGGCGAGGCGGGTGCTCTTTCAGCGACAAGGTCGCAAACATCCCGGCCTTTGCGCCGCGTCGCAACTCGCTACAGCTGGTCATTGTGGTAGACGAGGCCGACGAGCACGGCCAGCACAGGGACGAGCTGCCCAGGCCGCTGATGGAGGTGGAGCAGCTCACGCCAAGGGGCATGAAGAGACTGCACGGGGTGCCGCTGGTGCTGATGCGTGTGGCAAGAGGAGAGTACGATCTATTCCACAGCGCACTCGCCGTCGGCATGCGCCGGAAGTACACCATTGTGAGCCAGGGGCTCATCATCGACAATGCGGTAGTGTTGTAGCAGTGTGTACATGGTATTGCCCTCGAATCTGAATGTTGATGTAAAGCCTCTCTACAAATGTAATTTTTTGACGGAGCAAATGCCACGTAAATTAATAAAGCAGCGTGTATAGAAAGGGTAGACAATGGGCACTGCCCGAGTGCACAAAGACTTTGCTTGCCTTGCTTGCCTTGCTTGCCCGGCAGGCACACTGCATGCCGTATGAGTGTGTGCAGGCTTGATTCCGATGACGAACGGCCCCAGGCCAAGTTGAGCACGCCGAGCACGGGGATCCTTGGTATGCATTCATTTCATAATTGAAGTAGCGCGCGGCCAGTCGTCAATCAAGGGCCAGATGTAGACATCATCATCTGGTATCTTGGTGTGCCCTGCAGGTTCTACAGTGAGAGCGGCGATACTGTCGTCCGTGGGATTCCTAGCCTTTCATGGAAACTACTCTGCGCCTGGGGTCTCCATCTCCATCTCTGGTTAGAAATGAAGCCGTAGCGGCCCTCTTTGATCTATCTGCTACATCATACATTGGCCAGCTCGAGAGTCGTCTCACCCCAAATGCAACACGTACGAAGCGTAAAACCCTTGTTCCTCTTGGGATGCCATGGTGAGTCCAGGAGCAACACAGACTGAAATACAGTATGCCCTACCAAGTGGTGTGCTCAGCTGATCGAACTGGCAAGACGCAAATGAATTGTCAAATCAGGTACACAGATATCATTTACGGGGACCACTGAGCGGGAAAACGTTGGACTATTGGTTTTTTTTTTATCTTTTTAGACTGGGTAGATACAGGCGCTTAGGTTGCATTTTCCCACTACCAAAAGAAATCTATCAATCATCAAAAAGAAACCAGATATCTTCTCTCAATCATGTGTTGAACCGCTCTTTCAGATGCTCAAAACGTCATAGTTGTTGTATTAAAGACAAACTCGTTTTTGCTCGTCTAGTATGGCTGCGCATCAGCTTCCAAGTCCTCATATTCGGAGCCGATCAAAAGGTGTCCTTGGAGGTTTCCAACCAGGTTTGTGGGGTTTCTTGAAATTATTCCGTCTATACCAATGAGAAAAGAAAACACAAAATGCCACCACCCATCATGAAAATGAGAACAAAATTGAACTTTTTTTTATATAAAACATATTTCCAAACGCCCTTGGTTTAGGTTTGTTTTTGTGTCGAACTCGCACCCGTGTGTGTGAAAACTCGCAACTCGTGTCAACCATCGCGATGGGAAAACAAGGTGTTTGTGGCCATTGGCCGTGCCTTTGTGCAAATACTCGCCAGCTCCGTCGCTAAAGACGGGAGAATTAAGGTGTCGACATCGGGGCGTGGCGGTGGATCGGGTCGTTGAGGGTTATTTAAACGCCCTCTAGCAGGATGGCTGTAGGAGCCGCGCCAAGTTTGTCACGGCCGTCGAGACCGGGAACTTCCAGAATAAACAGATAGCCCATGACCTGGCCCTTGAGTTGCGTGACGAGATCAGCTGCGGCTTTGGCAGAGCCACCTAAGATTATACTATGAGCTTCTTCCATGGACGTGGCAATTGATCGAGTTGTTAGCCAAGCTTACCAGTTGCAATAATGTCGTCCACTATGAGGACCTTCTGCCCCTCCTTGATGGCATCTTGTTGCATTTGAAACAAATCCTTGCCGTACTCTTTGACGTACTCAGCAGTGACGCAAGGGCCGGGAAGCTTGCCCTTCTTGCGAACGGCGGCAAAGCCGACGCCGAGACTCAGAGCAAGGCCAGGGCCAAAGAGGAAGCCGCGGGCATCAAGTCCAACAATGATATCGGGCTTTACGTTGTTGAAGGTCTGGGTAATCTGCAGCTCGAGAGCGGAAACGAGAGTAGCGTGGGCGTCGACATTGGCGAACAAGGGCATGATATCAACGAAGTCAATTCCAGGAATAGGGAAGTCGGGGAACTGGCGAAGTGTCTTGCGCAGGCTTATCTTTGCACTGGCGAGTTGGGCGGCGGCGGAGGCGGCGGCGGCGGGCTGTCGTCCCTCGGCATCTTGAGCAGTTGAAGCAGCGGTTGTCTGGATATTGGACGACAGGTCTGAGGTGTGGTCTGGGGGAGGGGGCCCGGTCATTGTGAGGCGGGAGGAGAGGAACGAAGAAGGGGAGAAGAGGAAGAAGAGGAAGAGAAGCAGGCAGAGTCAGGATCAAGCAAACGGAAGAGGAGGAGTGAAAGGGTCTGGTCGACGGCAAGGCAAGGCAAGGCAGAGGAGTGGCAGAGGAGTGAGCCAGAGAGGATGGTAGGTGTGTCTGTGAGAATTTTCAGCGGGCTGGCGGGAGCTGGCGAGCTGGGATGCGCAACAGGTACTCGGTACTCCAGCCTCCGTACTGCGTACACAAATGTCCAGCGACGCCGCAGGACAAGACGCATAAGGGAGGAGTGGCCCGGCACACAGCAGGAGCCAGTTGCCAGGACATATGCACCATGGCACAGTCTGGGCCAGCAGCGTATGGAGGGGTGGTGGGGGGGAAGACATTGGAAGGGAAGGAGGGGGAGGGGAGACGAGACAGCTCATCTGTCCCAGCCCGGGCAGGAACCACTAGTCGCCCAAGCTGTCAGGAAAGAAGGAAAAAGAACTTTGATGGCGCCGCGCGCTCACGGCAACCAGCTAATGCGTGAGAGGTTCAAGGTCCGAACTTGACGTGGGCCACGCCAGGCCACGCCAGGCCGCACCAGGCAAGGCCAAGTGCATCACAAGTGAAAGTCGGTGTGCATTTTTTTGTATCTTTTTTTCAACTTCAAAGATTGTCTCCTATTATTCCATATCTATGATACCGGACGGCTTAACGATGAGCGGCAACCCAGATCGGCCCACGTTGCAGTCAAGGGCATGAACTTGCACCATCGACCAGGTCCTTCCTCTCCTCGTGTGGTCCAGGTACGGAGTACCTCTATCCGTCGGGCCACGGTTACGGCTACGGCCTCTTGTTGTGCTTTGCTTGTATTCTCGCATTATTGCGGCAATCAAAACATTCTGGACATGCTCTCCGCGGCCAAACTTGGTGTCCTGGTGTCCTGGCGTCCTGGATCCTCAGCTAACTACCGCACGGGTTCCTAAAATGGCTTGAGCTCCCAGCTACCTTGCGCATAAGTATGGCGCGCGTGTTATGGCATGGCTTAGTGCCAGTGCTTATCGGCTCAATCATTGACTCCATCAAATATCTGGATTGTCGACTATGGCGATTACGGCCCACGGTAGCACGTGTGTGTGTAAGTAAGCTTGCGAGTCAAAAACTCTTCTTGGCAATCAATCAAGGTCAGACCGGTTCCCGAATAGCTCTTGGGTCCCGTCACCATCATTGCCCAAGAGAACAATATCATACATAGAAGCCCTGACTCAACATGGCATACTCTACTCCCCCGCTCCGCGTCACTCACTCCCTCTCATCTCGTACGCGAAACATACAATGCATCTACAGATGGCTGAACTGCAACCTTGCGGGCTGCGACACAAACAAAGAGCCAATGGATCACTCCATGCTTCAATCGGGCAAAGTTCTCATGCTACTACTCGCTCAGTACTCGACCCAGCAATGGATAGCTGTGGGGTGGACAGGGAGCATCAGCGCGGACATAATACGGCCGACGCAACTGCAGCCAGGTGAAAATTGAGTGCTCCATTGGCAACCATCACAGTCTGGCACGGACGCAAGCCACGGTCGAAATCTTGTGGGCAAATGGCATGCTTTCCAATGCGCAGGTGGGAGTCATTCCGGTCACAGCGTCTGCCCACGTCGACACGACACGAGGGTGAAGTGTTAAAGCGCGAGGTGTGAGGTGTTGTGATCCAACAAGTACTACCCTGTTAGTCCAAGAAAGGGCTGCCATAGCTCTTCTCCAGCAAACATGAAGAAAAACCCACGGCGGCCCCGCGGGCCCGGGCCTTGATACACGCGGTGAATTGTGTTACTCTTGATTCCGATCGGTCCGGAGCGGACTGCGGAACCATTCGTCCCTAGCACGTATATTATTCTTAGCCCGATGTTTGAGAAATGTCGCACGACGAGACGGTTATTATCCTTTCCTTCCGCCTTTCCAAAAGAGAGCTTGCGACATCCCACTTCGTCCCGCCCAGCATTTGGCTTGCATATCTCTGCGGTGGAGTGCGCTCCAATTAAAACCAGGCTTTGATGCGCTGGTCCGGAGCGCACCATGTCGTGCGTTATTGTTCGTATACTACGACAACAATGGCGTGAGCCTAGGCAGCTCGCCAGGTAGGCAGGCTAGTAAGGTGCGAGCGATATTGGGGTATCCCAGCACGCCCTGCCAGACTATGAGGTTCAAAACAAGACAGATGGAATATCAAAGCGGCGGTGACTTTTCAACTACGATACCAATGCTACTAGACATGAAGCTCTATGCTGTTGCGAGTAATGCAAGCCTCTCCTAGTCGCTGATCCTCGACTACGCGAGGCATTTTACCATGGGCCAAACAAGGGGATTGGACTGCCATAATATACCGGAGCCGCCAAGGTGCCAACCGGGCCACGCCGACCAGTTGGTTGCCTGAACATGGGATTGATTCCATTGTAAACTTACTTCAGGTTGTCGTCTTGACTTGGCTCGGTTGCTGGTTCTCCGTATAGACATGCCTGCCCTATAGGTTGGTTGTCCGGGTACACGTCCATGAAATTGGGTTTGAGCTATGACTGGTAACTATGCTGAATACCACATACTCATGCTGATGCATATTTGTCAAAAAAATGAGCATAGATCAAACGCCAAGGCTATCGACTCGGATGGCACCGGTCTGAAGGAGATGTCAACCTCGCTTGAGGCCGCACTTCGGGATAGTTGGACAGATGTTATCGTTATCAAGATGAGGCTTCAAACTTGCCCTCTACGCCCGGGCAAAGATGGGCAAGGTCAACAGGTTGTCTGTTGCCATACATGGGTGATGGAGAAGGCTAGTTCCGACATTGACAGCAATGTACGGACTAGCAACAGCATTTTAATAGAAGAAGTCCTTTTACAGCTTCACGGCTTGACAAGCATGCCTGTCCCAAGAACACCAGCTCCCAAACACCATGATATCAACCAAAAAAAAAGCTGGCCTCTGACAAAACATCAAAAGCCTATCTACCCCTACCCCTTGGGCTCCAATGTGCCATGCTTGCACACCTTCACCACCACAAGGCAGCACAAACCAAAAAACCACATCACATCTTGCGTCCCTTTCCCATCCCGACATCTCTTCCCCCCAAGCCTTCCGCGCCAAACTCTCCAACACTTGCAGAAACAACCTGCGCACCAATGACAAGGCTCCCTCTCGTCGGTTCTTCCTTTCTTGGAATCCGTCTCCCCGTCCTCGTCGCCTCTGCGGGGGAGGGGAAAGCGGTAACAAGAGCTCAAGCCCTGTTGATGCGCAACTTGCAGCGCATATGGTGTGGCACGGCGTCATGCAAGCCATCAAGCTCGTAGGCAAACATTTCTGATTTACCTGTGTACCTGGCAGTTCTTGATCCGCCTTTTTTGTGTGTGTGTAAAACTCCTTCACTTGGTTTCAATTGAGTCTCTCGTCCCGTCTTTTTACAGATTGAACACAATCATCACGTAGCAACAATTCATGCATCCAGTCCGGGGTTTCAAAAGGAAATCAGATCTATTATGGTGAGGTATCTATGATATGCTAAAATGCTTGTCCCAGAACAGCCAACTCAAAAATCATAGTTCAGAGAAGGGGTATCAGTCTGTCACAGGGACAGAATAACAACAAAAACAACCATCCAAGTAAAACTGCCGCTCCCCCGTTGAAAAAAAAAAAGAGAAAAAAACAACCAAGGCATCAAGTCTAGACGTTCAATATTCAAACCCGCCATCCACGACTCCCACCCTCTTCTTTCCAAAAAGAAAAACAACTTGTCTGGGCATCCCCCCTGTCAAGCTTGTTGTAACACGATAAAGACTAAAAACCGGGGATGTCTGCATTCCCCCGCCCCAGACGCTGTACCAAGTAACACCGTTATGCAAAGCAAAAATGCCACCACACAGCTATGCCTCCCTGTGCGGGCAAACACATTGTTTATTCTATCGGGGATTCAACGGAACTGGAGCCGTATTATAGAAAACAGCATGTTTTGCAGAACATGCAGTATCACAGCCACACAAGTCGGCAGGAGCTCTGGCCAGACCGTGAAATCCAACTTGCCCTCCAGTCCAACGTCCACCTTGAAGCAGAGCCTAATGAGCAGCCGTACCGCAAGACTAGCAATCAGCTCGCACGCCCAGGTAATCGAGGACGCAGAAACGGTGAGGTTGAAGTTTTCAAAGGCGAAAAATGGGTATACGGCTTTGTTGGCGCCGTAGTGCAGCACAGCAACGCTGCCCAAAAAGGTGGCCATGGACGTGTTTTCCGCGAGGAATCGAATGAAGACATTGCGAGTCTGGAGCTTTTGGTATGACCCGTAGCTGAGGCCATTGAGGCCGAGGACGGTCAGGATGCGGTGAACAAACCGAGTCATCATGATGGGGGTGATGACGACGAGGGATGTGGACGAGAGAATTTGGAGACTGATGAACTGTCCCGGAGAGCGAAGTCGGGCGTATAGGGCACGGACGTAGGTCTGGTAGGTCAGCATGAAGTAGCTGTAGCACATTGTGTTAGTCTGACTGTCTTTTTTTGGGGGGGTCATGTATAAAACCAAGGCATTTGCCCAACGCCAACCCCAACCAAATGTGGAAACGGGGATGGCCATGTTTGTATACACGGAATCCAGGAATGACGCACAGCTTAAAGACCCAACTCAGCGGGTAGCTCCCGACTCGCTCGCCCTCGCGGATGCCCAGCACCCAACCCGTCAAGGCGTCCAGAAGATGCACGGTGGCGACCCAACCGTAGACATAGACAACCGTCTCCAGATTGTTGTGCGGCAAAGTCTGCACATACAACTCGGCATATGCCTCTCCAATAACATACACCATGAAGCCGACAAACAATGCGACGCAGAACCAAAGGAACCTCACAAAGCTCGCTGGCAACCACCTTCGTCTCATGGCTACTCGTTGAGAACGCAATGACGGGTTCACGTACAACATATCCGGCTCCAAAGTATCCGAGGCAATGTTGTTGCGCCAGCGTCGGTCTCGCCTAGGAGGCAGCGTGTCTGGGTCACCAGTCCACCACGATGATGTAAAGATGCGTTGCGTTTCCGATAATGAGTGCCGCAGACCAATGTGTCTCTCATTGGTCATGAGTATGAGAAAGGCGATTGCTACAGGTGTTGCCATGATGATGAAGGTCCACGAGATCCACGACGTGTTGTGGACGGTAAGCCAACGCGTTTCGGGGATGTAGTAAATGGGAATCGGGACGGCAATGGATAAGATGGCGATGAGAGAGACAGTCACGGGGAAGCCCAGCGACTTGGGCCACCAGTTGAGACTGTACAAGTTGAAGACCTTGGTGATCCATATCAGCGCAGTGATGTTGTAGAACCCGTAGTAGACAAAGAGAAAAAACCAAAAATTGACCTGGACTTCAGCAGAACCGTGACTGGGTGGCTTGCGGACGACATCCCCTGGAGATTTGTGATTGTCGTCTTCGGGTAGAGGGTATTGGGGGAAGGGTATGGCACACCATCCGATGGCCTATACTCGTCGTCAGTATACGCCAGCTCAACCCGCTCAGCTCGTAATCAGACTTGTCCGAATACGAGCAAAAGAAAATGGAAACCCACCAAGGCAGTGGGCAAAACCACCAAAAGGCCATACCTGCTCCACCACCTATCAACGGTCCTCTTGACGGCAATCTGCTTCGGATTCACCCACAAGTCCATGATGCAGCCCTGCCAAACCTTCTGCCACATGGAAAGGTCGTCATCATAGTCGTCGTCGTCGTCTATGGCAGCATCGTCATCAGCCTCGCCAGCGAGCTGTGCAGCCACCAGGGCCCCGTAGCCAAGGTGAACACTGCCTCTCCCATCGCTTAGTCCTGACGTTCGATCCGATAGCAGCCCAAGCTGGCTAGATCGCCGCTGCGTCTGGCCCGGGCGAGGAGGTACGGCCCGGAATCGTCCTAGTAGGGGGGATGTGTCGTTTGGTCGGACGCGAGACTCTGTGCCTTGTGTGAACTGGAAGAAGCTAGACATTGGGGCAGATTAAGTAGCACGGAGGAGCACGGAGTAGCACGCGGGCTACATTGGACACGATTCTCGCGCCAGAGGGTTTGACGACGCGAGAGCCAACGCTGCTTGTGCCGGGTGAAGGAAGGGGGCCAGCGAGGGCCGGATATTTGAGGCCAAGGCGGCCGCTCTGCTGTTGCACTTGTATGCGGCTATGTTGGAGGCCAGGCCGGGGTTGATTAGGCACAGACGCGGTTCGTGATCACGTTGGGCCGAAAGGCTAGAGATGCCTGGGTGTTGGAGATGCAATTGGCGGTGCCATTCAATGTTGGCAGATGGGATGCATGGGTCGACGTGCCCCCTGTGACGACGCCGCGGGAGCTGCCACTGGCGCGAGGCAGGGCAGCCCTTGGGCCCAGGCACATGCCCGTATGCTAGGTACGTACAGTGAAGTGGTACGTACCGTGACGGGGCAGGGCGGGCAAGAGCGGACGCCGAGTGGGCCGTGCATGTTCAAGGTTGAATGGCGGCCGGCTTTGGACGGGTCGAACCGCCTTGCCAGCCTCCATCACCGGTGCCATCGTCTGATCGCACAACCCGAGGACAAGCTCACCGTGTTTTTGACGAGGTAGCCTGCCAGGTACCTGCGGTATTTTACTACATTCCCGTACCATCCGTACGATCAACAAGCGAGCTGTTTCGGGCCTCCCGGGAGCTACAGACATTGCTTTATGTAATTGTATATCCAAGGAAACCCGCTCACACGTGACAAGCTTTGAACGAGGGGATAGAACGCTCCTAGTTCGAATTCGCTCGAGCTGCACTATCCATCAGCGTATCATGTACAATACAGACTCTAGTATACATACATGAACATTGCATTGGCTGCCGTCTTGTCTCTGCCAATTCACCCGTCGTCTTGACTGTTCGACTCTGCAATTCTTGGCCACTGTCCTGAAACCCTAGACCAAACCCATCACCGTAAGAGAGCCAACATTAAACCCCGCCCTCTCAATCGCCGCCATCCGAGCCGATATCAGACCCAACATCAGACGCCTCATCCACTATGTCGGATCCCTCGTCAAATCCTTCGTCAAAGTCGTCGGCCGAATTCTCCGCAGACGTTTCCTCCGGCTCCGAACGTTCGCGCCGCGGCACTTCCTCCTCCAGAATGCCGCCTGTGACGTCGACCGTGAATGCAACCGTCTTGGTTGACGCCGACCTGAACGACACTACTGCTGGCTCCAGCACGTCTCCGCTCCACGGTTTGCACTCCTTGACATGCTCGCCACACCGCAAGCACGTCCAGCCTTCGCCTTCCTCCCTCTCCAGTCGCGTAGCCAGACAGACAAAGCAGTAGATGCAACCGCATGGAATCGTCTCGTAGGGGTTCGTGACATCGGTCTGTGACGAGCCAATCACACCACTTGAGGCTGCAGCCGCCATGATCTCTGTTTCCGTCGTGGCGGAGTCATTCTGGTCCTGGTAGCAGATAGCGCATGTCCGCTCCGGCAAGAAACCGTATTCACCATTGGCCGACTTCTCGCCTTCGGCTCCAGAATTTACAATCTCTTTGGTCTTTCGCCAAGTCTTGCTCAGCCAACGCCTCCATTTGTTGATGCCGATCAGGGGGAGAACAAAGAGTAGAAACTCGGTGAAAGCGTGCCAAACAAGCTGGCGGTTGAGGTACTCGAATGACACTTCCCGGCTGACCTGACTTGTCGGAGGCGCCAGTCGCATTCTTAAAATTCGGTCCAGTAATGTCCTGTAGCGGCCATGGAGCAGGAACACCAAGAACGAAGCCAAAGCCGCAGTGGAATGCATTGTAGTCAGCCGCGACGTCCAGAGAGATAGGCGGCGAATTCGGGGGCTGGGCTGATCGTAGCCGTCATCTTGCTCCAACAGCCAGTCCTCCCACCTTGTCCAAGCATACTTTCCAAAGACGGTGATCAGACCGTAGAGGGACTTTTGTACTCTGGAAGGAGGTGAAAGGACAGGGCCGTGTTTCCTCGCGTCCGTGTACTTGAGATTCTGTAGCGCCGCGCCATATGTAGCGTCGTGGTCCCAAACGGTCAACTTGAAGAGGATGGCCCTGAGAGCCAGCAGAATCTCGGCCGACCAGTCGTCGTGCAAATGTCCCCCGCCAAAGTATTTGAGCGCATCGCAGACCTGGTCCCTGAGGAGGGTAACAAGTTCCTCATCGAGCAGCTCGGCATCTACCTGGGCGACACGAAATGCAGGCCGAGTGCCTTCGCGCGACGACATGGCATCCCATGCTGGCGAGAGTCTATTGAAGGGGAATGGCAGTCGCTGAAGCTGAGAGCTGGCTCGGGAAGCTTCGCGCTGGGCGGCAAGTATGGCGACAGCTTCAGCCTCACGAGCCTGGCGCCGCGCCGCGACTCTCTGTTGCGCTTGAATGAAGCTGGAGTCGGTCATGAGTGCAGCATTGGAGATTGGAGCATCGACGAGGGAACGGAAGAGAGCTATGGGCTAGGGCCGAAATCAGAAGCTGTGGTCGTTTGCAGCAGTTGGCGGCGCAGGGAGAGCTCAGAGGGTAGGAGGCGGTCGCATTGACGACTGACAATTCGACAGACAGGTGCCGGGAGGTATGGTGAGATACTGGGAGCGGGTGAAGAGTCGCGGCATGGGTGATGTACGACAGCCGGCTGCGGTTGTATGCAATGGCAATGACGAGCCGAGGCTTTCAATGTCTGGTTGGGTGTGGCACCGACGGGCATCAAATCGACGGGTGGACCGCGAGTCCGTGACAGCAGTGGCCCGCTGCTGGAGCCCGCCAAGCTTCCCCACACCAGCTTGTGATATGGCAGGGGCCGGGGCGAGGTGCCACTTGCAGCTTCCCAACACTCCGTACTCGATATTGCATCTCGAGATGCGATGCTTTGGTACGTGTGAGATGGCACAGGCAAACGTCATTGCCTGGTTCTAAAACACTCTTGCCTTGTCCCTCGAAGAATGGAGGAGGCCATGGGTACTCCATGCTCCAACCGTTTCTGATGGCTTCAACCGTTGTCAACTGCGCAAGTCACGCGCAAGCCTCATCATCAGCCAAGGGACATGGGGACATAGAGACATAGGGAACCTTGACCGTGATGCCTCAGTCCATGAGATACATACCGCATGTACCAAGCCACGCTCCGTTCTCCGTGCAGAGACGTATTGGATGCATGCACCAGTTCGTCGGCCCTGCATGAGCCGCCCCCTACTATTACCGCTGCCAACAATGCACAAGCATTGAATAAGCATCGAACAAGACGGCTAGCCTTTGAATGCTCGACCTTCAGCCAATGAGCGTCCCTCACATCACCAACCCATTTATCCCTGCATGCAACAACCATCTCCAACTTTCACTCACTCAACCCGCCATTCTGCCTGCTGCATCCTCATACCTTCCGCCTCGTCTTCAGAACCCCTACCGCCTGTGACTCATACATCCTTGACCGAATTAGGCCACAGCTGTCCAGATCTGGCATTTCCAACTCTTACACACATCCATATGAAGCACGGCCGCCACGTTGTCTAGTTGTTTCCTCCCGCAAGCTCTTTTCTTTGTTGCCACCGCAAACACTGGACGAGCTACGCACCGGTCCGCGTTCAGGCCAGTCGGACAGTAGTTATTTCTTCGGGGTGCGAAATAAAATTGTTACGCTTGTCTTGTTTGACTTGGGAGTTTCATTAAACTCGAAGTGCCCGTCTTCAAAGTCACAGATACACCAGTCGTTGTACTCAAAAAGCGCAACATCATGTCTTCGTCGCGCCGGCGCGACCGCCGCTCAGACAAGGCCGCCGAAGAAAGCTCACCGCGGGACAAGCGCTCGTTACGTGTTGGTGAATCGTGGAGCGTAGTGGAGGGTGAAAACGAAAGCTTCGACGCTAGACGAGCGTCATTCGAGGGTGACGAAGGCGATGAGACCCTATCCCCTCTGTCCAGTGGTCAACCTTCATCCTTTTCCTCGGAGATGTCATCTCAGGGAAATGTGGTTAAGAGATCAGCCCCGAGTTCTCAGGACAGTTTCCGCGACTTTGCGAAACACCAAAACGAGGACAAGGCCATTCTTCGAATCCCATTTCCGCCAAGTATTGGTTCGCCATCGAGTTCAAGGTTGCAAAGAGGCTACCGCACAGAAGACCCGCAGCTCAAAATGCCTCGAATAGATGTTGCTAGCTCAAGACACGGTAGCGGTAACAGCTCTCGCACCATCCGGCCCCTTGGAAGGGGGACGAGCTACGATGGTGACGACGAAACATATCTTAGGAGACGGGGCAAAGGGCCATCATTCCAGGGTGATTGTGGCCAGAGAGGGCAATCTGGCGGACCCGTGACAATCAGCGACATGGTCACGCCGTCAACGCCGTCTGCTTTGCTCAACATCTTGGCCTGGGCCGGGGAAATCATTCTCATTGCACTCAACTTTGCCAAGTACCCTCTAGCACTGCTTCTTGCCGTCTATCTTGTCTTTGGCGGCGCCATCATTGTACAAAACATGGCCACAAGATCCGTCTACACCGCCATGTCACCCATATGTCGCCTTCCGGGAACGTCATATCTAAATCTACCATTTTGTCCACCCCCCGGGGCCACCGACTTTAGCGGTCCTAATGCGACGGCTGGTCAAACAGTAGAATTCGACGATCTCATGGGCGTGCAATCGAAATTCGAGCAGGTCCTCGAAAGAAGTGCCGACGGGGTCTCGCTGCCCTTTGAAATGAAGCGCTCAGAAACCGCCGTCAGAGATCTACGGACCCTTGTTCGAAACAGCGATATCCAAGCTCGGCACGAGCTAGTCGTAGAGTTTGACGGGTACATTGAAATCGCGCGATCAGCAGCGTCGGACCTGCAAAGGTTCAACACGCACGTCGGCTCGGCCGTCGACGCCGTCATTAGTATCAACCGCTGGACATCGCGCTACATCGACTCCCTCTCCCTCGAGTCAGAAGCGCCGCCGTCAGTGCTCGCGGAATGGACGCACTGGATCTTCTACCCTTTCCAGCCTGCCGACCAGCCATTCAGCGAGCGCGTCATTCTTGACAAGTACATCGAGCACACCGGCCTCGTCTCGGAGCGCATATCCGCTCTCATCCTCGAAGCCCAAGCCGTCCTGCGCCTTCTCACCAAAGCAGAGGACCACCTCAGCATTATATACGACATCACGTCCCGCACCTCGGCAAGCGTCTCCTCCCGTCGCGAAGAAATCCTGTGGAACATATGGACCCTTGTGGGCGCCAACTCCCGCAGCCTCAAGAGCCTCTCGCAGCAGCTCTCTCTCCTGCGGCAAGTCGATTCGCAGCGTTCTATAGCCGTCGACCAAATCAGCGGGCTCATCATCGAGCTGGAATCTATTCAAGCGAATCTGGGCGACTTGCGAGACCGCGTTGCGGAGCCGCAGCTCCTGAGCGACTTGGACACAGTCCACATACCCCTCAGTGTGCACATCGAGACGATTGATCGCGGTGTGGAGAGGCTGCAGGCTGCCAGACGGAGGATCCGGGCCGCAGAAGATGACCGTGTCAGAGATGTCATGGCCAGGGGAGGGCTGAGAAGCGATGACGGTCGTTTGATTGAGAATGGGAGGGGGCAATGACGAATTTCGATTTGACGATTTAATGAATCAGTGACGCAGGACCTGGGCGTTACATGCCGGTTTGTAGAATTCTGTACTCCGAGACTACTATGCAGTAGGGTATTATGCACGTATTATTACACGACGTCCAAGTGAGGGCCAATAGGTGGGTGTTAGCATGGGATTTTAACAGCGTTGTACAGGGTGATTCCACGAGGTTTTTGTCATGACATAGAGAGTAGACGAGCATCGTCAGAAATACGGCCTGAATAATAACTTGATCCGTTTTTTTCATTTCACCAAGCGGCCATGTGCGCATACGGAAGGATATATCTCCACAAGCCCTGTTCCAACGCCGAATTCCCTCGCCAAAGCGAATAGGGCTGACCCAACGCCCACTCCATAAACCGTGTTTACAAACCCCCCTTCCAGCTGACTCCGGAGTATATCAGAATCCCACATCACAATACAGGGAATACAAGAAGTAGTGTAAGCCAACCAAACCCCACCGCGTCAAAACTCCGATCCAAAAAAATAAATCAAGTTGGCTCTCTGATACATGGACTCTTTCAGCTTCCAACAGAACAAGCTTTGGTACTAGATATACCATTGTAGCCCCATCTATGGCCAACCCCAGCTCAAGATAATCCAATTCGTCATGGAAGAAGAAGAATGAAAGATGCCATCACCATAGCGATCAGATGAGATCCATGCAACTCCGCAATCGTGAAACGTCTGTCGTCGGAAAAAAAAAAAAAGGTAATAAAAGGTGCCTTCCGAAAATGATAAAACGCCGTATCCCATCAAACCCATGATATGTACCAGAATATGACCTTATCCTCAGTGTTCATTTTAACCTGAGACAAAACAAAAAACGCCGGTGCGATGCATGCCCTTATGCCCCAGTTCTAGTAGTTGATAGCCGTATCACTCGTTAGGTATGCCGCTAATGCTACACGTTATAGGTTAACTGAACCCCGGGAACGCCTTCGAAAGAACTCGCCTCCCTATCGAAAATAGATTAATACGTCACATTATCAAACAGTTGCGGAATGGCCGTGCTACTCTCAGGCCGGTACTTACATCTTGGGCGAGATTTGTCAGGGTCATCGAAGGGTGCGTTGTTATCAGCGATTTCTCGCATCCGTTCCCGAGCAAACGCCGATGGGCTACCCCGCCTATTCGGGGCTCTATTACCCGCATCCAAGGCAGCATTCTCGGGTTGAGTCGGAAGCAGCTTAAGCACTCGCGGCTTCGACTTCCTAGGTCGAGTCTTTGCTGTGGTGGCAGCCACTTGAGGCAGATCGGTCGAGTCTGGACTTGCAGTGTCTGCAGTCCTGTCCGGTAATGAGGACGAACTGTTGCTTTCCTCGCCTTCTGTAGGGTTCTGACTCTCTTCTGTTTTTGTTGCGTGTTTCGATGATTTCAGCGGTTTCATTTGCACGTCTGTCTTGGTAGGGGATGTGTGGTTCGGGTGTGAGGAGGAGCCAAAGAGCTTCCTGCCCCAGAACTTCAGTCTCGTGTCTCCGGAGTCAAGTGATAGTTCTTCTAGATCAACTCTCTCCCTAAGCCGCCTCAAGGCTCTTTCTCGTCGAACCATTCCGTTCGTTATTTTGGGGCTATAGCCTTTGGGGAGCATGCAGTGCTTGCACGTCGGACATAGAGAGCTGTTTTGTATAAGAAACTCGTCAATGCATTCAGAGTGAAATATGTGGCCGCATGGTAGTTCGCGGATGACTGTAACTCGATGTTCGAAGCTGGCTAGGCAAATGTGACAGGTGGGTTGGTAGTTAGTGGCCATGGTCTCGCCAGTGCCGGTCAGGCTCGATCGCTTGCTTCGTATGCTGCGGACGCTTG